CCCCGGCGTGCGGCCCTGGGGCCTGGGGGATGCGCGAGGGCGCTGCTGCGCTTCGGTTTCTCCTAGTCCCGGGCGGGGGAAGGTGACCAGGCGGAGGGAGGTACCCCTCCCAGTTCCCGGAAACGGTGGCTGGTGGGAACCAGCGAGGCGAAGGAGACGGGCCACCTAGTGTAGGCCTTCAGGTGGAGAAACTGAGACCCGAGCGCAGCGGAGACTGCCCAAGGTCAGTGGCGGGCTCTGGTTTTGCCCTTATATTCTTTTTCGAAGAGCGAGGGTTAGGATTTCCTGGATGTGTCTGGCCCGTTTGTGGCCCTTGGCCGTGGACACAGCAGATGCCGCGCTGCGCCCGCCCTCCCTTGGTGCTAGAGCTCTTCGTTGTCCGTGTGACCAGGGCTTCCCGTGCTCTGCCAGTGTTCTCCTCGCCGGACCGCAGGGCGGCTCCAGTGATGATCTCACTATGCGGACCATTAGCAAAACCTGCAGATGTGTGTGTGAGTGTGCACGCGAGTGTGTTTCCCCAAGAGAACTAGACCTGGTAGGGGAAAATGCTTCAGGAGCAGATTTCTAGGGACCACTGCACGAGCTACTTAAAGAGGCAAGAAGACTAATACGAAGAGAATTGTTAGATTTTATAAAGTATAAACTCATTACAGAACATTCAAGATAAAAAAGAGAAAATAGATACCTTAAGACTTCATTTCCTAGATTGTTGAGATTTTCTTGTTCTCTATATTCATGCATTTTAAATTTTAAATCAGTAATATGAACAGAAAATGGTATCATTAAAATTTGCATGTCTTAATTACCCCTAGGAATCAATATCTATTCGTTTGTGTATTAAAGAGTGAATTGCCTTAATTCTTTTGCCCATTATTTAGTTACAGCATCTTTCTCTTACTGATTTTTAAACAAAGTATATTTACACATTGATAATTATCTGACATATATATTGCTCCAAAAGAGGCCTACCTGATAGTTTTCAATAATTTTAATTCCAGATGATTGTTTGAATATTTTGTCAATTTTTATATTGTGATGGTGGTTAAATGGGTGTATAAATTTGACAAATCTCATTGAAATATACAATTACACGGTGCATTTTACATATGTAAAATATACCTCAATAAAGGTTTCCTTTTAAAGGGAAAAGGTTTATTTAGCTTACAGTTCATAGCAGACACAATAAAGTTGAATTTTTTAAAAGTCAGGACAGTTACGATGCTGGTTTATCGGAATCTGTCTACTCATATATTAAAAACTGTTATAAAGCTTCAGTAATTGAAATATCATAGCCCTGGCACCAAAATATAAAGTTGCAAAAATCCACAAACAGTTGCATATATATAATAATTTAATACATCATAACTGGAACAATTAAATTGGAGATTTTTAAAAAATAGCCTTAGGCTCCTTGCCTGTCACATTCACCATCCCAGTGTCTGGCACAAGACTTAGTAGTGTTGAAATGAATGCTTAGTAACAATCATAAAAGTAACACATGTTTGTACTTGCTTTGGCAGCACATATACTAAAAGTAATACATGTTCTTTGCAGGAATGTAGAAGGTAAGACAGGAAACCTCCATCTTCCATACTGTTCATCTCTCCTTTACCAAATTATACTCCACATTAAAAAAATAAATTGGTCTTATTATGCACGTTTTTCTACAGTTTGCATTGACATAGCTTGCAATTTCCCAAAGAGACTGTGAAGTCTGTTTGGATTGCTCTAATAGATTCCCAAAGATTGAGTGGCTTTAACAATAGAAACATTTGTTTCTTTTTTTTTTTTCAGCTTTAATTGAGTTTATTGGTACATTTTAGGGATACAGTACAGTTACATTCATTGTTGGGATCTTGTACCTCTACATGACAAGTCTTGATTCTCATTTTTTTCCCCTTACCTCTGCCCTCCCTTCACCCCCTTCTCCCCTCCCCATCTACAAACACTTTATTTTCATCTTTTCATTCTCTCACATTTTTTTCTTTTCCCTTTTTACTCTTCTCCTACCCATCCCACCTTCCCTACACCTTTAGCTCCTTTCTTCCCATTTCTAAATGTCAGTAATCTTATTAGAATCTTATGCATTGTTGCAGATTATTTACACCAGGGAAACTATTCGGTATTTACACATGTTGGACTTATTTATTTCACTTAGGAGTATATCTTCAATATGTATCCATTTTCCTATGAATCAATCTATTTTCTCATTCTTTATGGCTGAGTAATATTCCATTTTATAGAAAAACCAGAACTTCTTTATCCAGTTTCCAACGGATGGGCAAATAAGCATTTGTTTCTCACACTTGTGGAGGCTGGAAGTTCAAGATCAGGGTGCAGGCATGGTCAGGTTCTGGTGAAAATCCTCTTCTTGGTTTCAAACCAAAGGGCAGGATTCCTTTTGTGTCCTCACAGGAAATATAGCAGAGAGAGGAAGCAAGCTACCTCCTGTTTCTTCATAAGAGAGTACTTACTAGTCCTCCGTGAGGGATCCACCCCCATGATTTAATTATGTTTCCGAAGTCTCATCTCGGAATATCATGACCTTGTGGATTAGCATTTAACCTAGGAATTTTGAGGGTACACATTCAGTCTGTAGAAAAGACACAGCTAAGCCCGTGCTGACTCCCTCCTCCTTTTCCTCCCTCTCCTCCTCTTCTTCCTGTTCTTCCTCCTCCTCCTTTCTGTCGGTATTATATTTTTTCAGTTTTCATAGCATACCCTCGTATGATTATCTAAACATCTGTTCCCTGTACCTGGAATGTTTTTACCTAAGCTAATTGCCTTTTCCTCTTTCCTGTCTTCTCTTCCCTCTCCATTTTTCTTCCTTTCTTTCCCCCTTTTTTCTACCGTTATCCCCCTCCCCATCTTTCTCCCCTTTTCTTTCTATTACAAACAAAACTGATGTGAAAATGCCTTGTCCACTTTTATTAGTCTAAGTGGAATTTCTGCATGGTATATTTTTAGAAGTAGAATTGCTGCATTAAAGGAGATACAAAAATAAGATTTTCTGGGCATGGTGGTGCACACCTGTCATGCCAGCACTTGGGAGGGGTGAGGTAGGAGGATTGCTTCAAGTTCAGGGCCAGCCTGAACTACATGCTGAGATTTCGTCTCAAAAACAAAACAAAAAATGTATAGAAGTACCACCCCAATATTACCTCCAAAGACTGCACTTTATATGATGATGTTCATTTGTAACTGTACCATTCCTTCTTGAAGTAAATTGAATTCAGAGTACGGTAAATATAGAGGTTAATTTTGGAGAAAGCCACTTCTTTCTATTTCTGAGTCTTTCAGGGGATAAAATGTTCTTTTTTTCTATTTCTTAATGACTTCTTTAATTTTTTATATTATTGCTATATGTTTGGAAAACTTAATGATTATATTCCCTGAAGGGAAGGTGACACATGTACAAAATCTTAATTCCTCTTTCTTTCCTACCCCTCCCTGCTGCTTTCCTCCATCTCTTGGTCCCTTTTCCCTTTTACAAAAGATCTATCTACCTATTTTTATTACTGTCTTTTCTTTTAGTCTTTATATATATTGTGGGTTTCTCATGCAAGAGAAATGATATGATATTTAAATTTGTGCATCTCATTTACTTCACTTAACAGTATAGTCTCAGGTGAATCCATTTTCTAGAAATGAGTTTCTAAAAAGTTCTTTAATAGAATTCCATAGTGTGTATGTACATTCTGCATATTAAATGTATTCCTAAGCATTTTAACTGAGTATTATTCCTTTTTTTTTTGGTACCAGGAATCAAACTCAGGACCTTGTGCTTGCGAGGCAGGTGGCAGCACCACTGAGCTAAATTCCTGGCCCTAGTGTTTTTCCATTTTGATTGAGATCTTTTATTCTATTAATTTTTTATTGATTAGGTGAAAGCATTTATTTTATGCATAGTATAAATATATATTGTATGCATAAATATAATTAGAGGTATTCAGAGCCATATTTGCTATATTCTGATTCTATTACCTACCACATCCCAATAGTTTTTACTACTTTTTTGTGGGAAGGATGCCGGGAATCGAACTCAGGGCCTCATGTTTACCAGGAAAGTGCTGCACTGTTAAGCTACATCCCCACCCTGTTTTTACTATTTCTAATGGTTTTTCAGCTGATTTTCCTGGACTCCCAATCTTTGCAGAGACAGTAGTGCATATTGGTTAAGAACATGAACTCTAGAACCAGTCTCTTTGGGTTCAAGTTTGACACCCCACCTTCAGTACAAATTAATGGTTTCTAAGCTTTTTCAGCTATACAGTGAAATTAATAACTTCTCATAGGCTTTTTATAAGGATCATTGAGGTACTTAGAATAGTGCCTGGCATGTAAGTGCTCAGCAGTTGTCTAGAATTAAGTTGATCCCTGTACATTTTTGTGATCAAGGTCTTTAATACTCCCACTTTTATACTTGAAGAATTGGGGCCCATACAAATCAAAAGACTTCAGGTGGCCTTTTATTTGTTTAGCAGTCATTGACTCTCGTGTGCATACAGTACTATGCTGCCTCAGTGAAGGATATCAAAAATAAATTCAACTGAATCCATTAAAAAGAGATTTAAAACTCTCAGTGGGGCAAAAAGGGCTATGAAGAAAGCCATAGACGGCAAAAGGAATCCTGAATAACAGATGGCTTTGAAGTTTGTCCTGTGTTTGAATTGCCTCCTTTTGATTTGCTATCATTTTTTTTTTCAATTTGAATGGAATTAATTCCTTTACCTCGTAAAAAGTAGAGTTGCCATTTTGGTTAGAAGAAATAAATTCAAGGGTCTAGCACAACCCTGGGGTACGCAGTAGTGACACAAGTGGTAGTTATATATAGAAGATGCAGTCAGAACTTGCACGTCTTTTGGACCCAACTGCCTAGGAGAACGACGGTATCATTCTGGAAGAACAGTGGACTTGGGAATGTCAGGAACGGTTCTTAAATGCTCAAATCCTGACACCTAACCTGGGGTTCCCCTGTCACACCCTATGGTGCCTTTAGCTTTTCAGAAGCTGTATTCGAGTGTACTGTGACTATCACTGCACTTGTTCATCTTTATTTCTGTGTCTTTGTCCTTTACTGGTTTCCCTGAGCCTTATACCTTAATGTGGTAACAGGCAGAATCCAGTTTAGGAAATAGCTGAGTGTCAAGGTGCACTTACAAAGCATGGATCAGAACTAAGTAAAAGTTGTTCTTTAGAATTGGGAGTGTAAGGTTTAAACATCACAGTGTTTCTCTTGTGAGAAAGGCAAAGGGTAAATAAACTCCAGAATGGAGTATGGATATTGAGAGGTAGGAAGAACATATTCAAATGAGGAGAGGAACCAAGGAGTGGGAAAGGAGAAGAGGGAAGGGAAAAGGAAAAGTGAATGGAAGGAAAAGATGGAAACAGAGCTTGTGTAAATAGGGAGAGGAAGAACAATTGAAGAGAGAGGAGAGGAATGGGAAAGAAAGAAAAGAACTGGGAGTATAGTGTTGTGCTCACAGTGAAGGAGTGCTAGCCTGAGCAGGCGACATTGTGGGTAACTATGGCATTCTGTGAAAAGCCATCATAGTGATCATGCTGACACGGCCCTCCTTCTGTCCCACCCACTTGAGTGGGCTGGGAGTAAAGAACTTCCTGCACATTACCAGTGAAAAAATCTTCCATTCTTGTTTTTATTTTTATTTTTTTAGTACCAGGGATCAAACTTGGGCCCCTTGTGCTTGCAAGGCAGGTGGCAGAATTACTGAGCAAAATCCTCGGTTTACCAGTGAAAAATAATGTCTTTAGATTTTTTTCCTCTGTGGTCAGTAGTTGTAAAACTAGATTAACAAAATGAAACAGATTATAGGTGGTGATGGACACCACACCTCCTGGGCCACACTTGTTTAAATCCTTTAATAAAATGGTTTAGAAGGCAAACAAGGGTGTGCTCTTGAACGCCTGCATAACTCAGTGTGGCTGGAATCTTGCCAATTCAGTCATCTAACCATTGAATGGAGCATGTGCCCTCAGCTCCTATAGTCCAAGGTGGGTGTGCTAGATTGCATTGTTGATCTAAATACTTTCTTCATCTTCCTGAGATGGTTTGTATCTCCCCAGTCATCGACGAGTCTCCTTTTGTCAGCCACAAAACCAACAGTGTGTAAGAAAAGAGCACTTCCTTCTGCCTGGTTTCTGGAGGACAGACAACATAGAACAGAGGCACAGTTGACCCATAGAGCAAGTAATATGAGCGACAATGAAGGCTTCATTCTTGAAGAAGAGAAAAAGAATGGAAGGAAGGAAAAGAGAGAGGGTGGGAGGAAGGAAAGAAAGTAAACCAGTGTACTATAAAGGGGCTTCTAGGAATTGACACAATTTTTTTTGTTTTGTTTTGTTTGTTTTTTGGGGACCTATGTATAAACTTAAAAAATGCAAAGTAATTACAAAGTACTCTAGCATTCAAATCTGTTTATTTAAATTTAATGTAAGAGAATTACATTTCTTCTGTGACATATTTAGAATAAAAGGTATTTATTGCTTCCTATTGGTAGCATATGTACCTGAGTTCTATGTACTTGATTGTCACATATATGTAAGAATCAAACTCAAAAACTCTTAGTTCTTATCAGCTAATGAGATGTATTACTGAATCCTGTCCTGACTCTGACAGTGTACCATGATAGGGCGTGTGGGTGTTTATGCCACAAGGACATTCTAGAAATTTCTCTGAGCAGATTGCTGTATCCTTTCTTTTCTCCTGAGGCTCTAGAAGCTGGCCTACTGCTTTTCTTTTTTATTGACTCTTCACCTCCCCTTCCCATGCTGTGTGGAATGAGTGAATTTCCCTATCTTACTGCTTTTACCAGTGGGTGGTGCATGAACTTGATATGTTGCATTCTTAAGCAAGTGGGTAAAGGTACTTGCATGTTTTAATTGGGCCTGTGTAAGGCTTCTGTCCGATATGAGTGTCCATATCAGGTGGCTGTTTATCTGCACTTTGATCTAGCAGGAGAGGCACATCAAATGATTTGCTTCTAACCGACATTCTGAATCTGAATCCAGTTGGGCCAGACAATCCACAGTTCTGTGTGTGAGAAATGCATGTTTTTATTGTAAATTATAATGATTTGGGGCTGTTGATCACCCCAGCAAGCAGTGATCACTGCAAGGGAGGACAGTGGGTCCTCTCAACTAGATCTGATCATCAATGAAGCAGCAGTCTTGTTACCATATTTTTGAAGTAAAGAACTTTGTGTAAGATATTAATGATTTTATTGTGCCTTGTAGGAAAAATTTCCTGAGATTAAAGGTCACTTCGTATCAATTTTGGGCGTTCCCATTTCTGTCCTGCCTGCCATATCTTGGTAGTGATAGCCCTTGATGGGTCCCTGGCATTTTCTTGGTAGGTATTTTCCAGGCATTTCCCTGGCTGGCTGTTTTATTTTATTGACTCTATTTAGGTCCCTCCTGGATGGCCCTTCCTTTGTGATAATTGTCAAGTGGATTGTTTTCTTCCAAATGTGTACAAACCTTGTCATTCTTCATAGGGAAGAGGTTTACTTTCAATACAAGTAAACATTGCATTGACCTTACTGGCTTTACATTCAGTAATAGCAAGGACAGGGAGGACAGTTCAAGCTGGAAGCCACCGGAATGCCACTACACCAGGAGCACGAGCTCAGCCCACTTCAGTATTTGGTCTCTACTAGTTGTGATGTGGAACTGATGAGGCTACATGGATGTGCAATCCCACTGACCTGAGAAGATCAGAAGGAGAAGCAACCAGAAGGTAGTACCCTACTAGTCCATAAAGCAACAAGCCTAGGATTCCCTGATATTCTTTCCTTCCTTGGATACTATCCACAACTCTCACTTAGGGTGAGAGATTAGAGTAGTCTCTTTCACCTCTAAGGTTCCCTACTATAATCTGCTTCTGTTGCTGAAACCAAACTTGTCTCTCACTTTCAATACTTACAGACAACATTTAGTTTTTCATTGACCTTACTGGATTTACACTGACTTTGGCCTTTTTATTCTGTTGTTTGGTACAAGTCTGTTTTCCATCAGAACATTAGACCTACTTACTCCTGAGATATCCTAAGAGTTGATTATAGGGATATATACACATACATATATAGTTTTTACTCTGCATTATCTTACTTCTGAACACATGTAATACTCAGTAACCCCATGAGGTTGGTATTATTAACTTTCATTACAGAGCCAAGGAACCTAAGATGTAGAAAGGTGAGGAACTTCTTACCAATAAGTAGCAGAGCCGATTTCACACCGACACGCCAGTGTCTTCAGGCCTGTGCTCCAAGTCTTCACTTCCCACAGCATTCCTTTCTGGACTGGAGTCAGGGGAACTGTCTCTTCCGTCTTCACCTCTGCTTACTTCTTTCCTCTCTCATTGAAAAGCTACTTGTAGATCCTCCTCCAGATGTTCCTGTCCCTTCCAAAGCCTATGGCTCTAGTTTGCTTGTGTATAGGAGATACTTCGTCTCACGGGTTTCTGTGATAGTTCTATAAACATAAAATAGAAGAATAGTCAGGACTAAATGATTATACCATTTGAAGTATAGCTGCATGAGCTTAGAGAATTATGAGGGTTAAGCGGGTGAAGGGAGGGCAGAGGTATGGGGAAAAAACAAGAACCAAGACATATTATGTAAAGGTACAAGATCCCAATGATAAATGTGACTGTATTGTTTGCTTTGAATGTACCAATAAATTTAATGGGGGAAAAAAAGAGAAATATGAATTGAAGACAATATTAACTGACATTTCAGAGAATCCTAAGTATTGTTTTTTTTTATTTGTTTGGCATATGCAGAAAAGACCTGAATTTTCAAAAATTACTGTGCACAGTTAAACAATAAGTACTTAATGTATGTGTATAGTGGAACTTGCTCTAAATGTGTATATTTCTCTGGGCCTACTGTCTGTCTGTCTGTCTGACTGTGTCCCGAGAACCCATGACTATGTAGCTAGCAGATAAAAATCATGATCTTACCTGCCTAGCTGGTGAGTTTTTGGCACACTCTACACCTAACTAAGCGTCTTTAGGCATGGGGATTTGCATAGATGCAGTAAGGTCTCCCTACCATAGAAAAAATAAGAATGCTGTAAAGATTACCATTAGAAACAACCAGACAACAGTTCGCTAATACAGTATCTAGTAGCAAAGAATCTTGAACTAGAGTTTCTGGTTTGATATATTCTAGGTTCAGTCCTTGGAATTTTTTTTTTAACACTATCTTTACCATTCCCTACTTTCTCTTTCTTTAGGCTTGCCTTGCAATGTTTCTGTCCTGAGTTCCAGGATGGTTCATTCTTGGGACCAGACATGATGAAGAGTTGACCTCAAGAACACAGCACCGTCTCCAGCTGCCATGCTCCTCCGGAGGCTGCGGCGACTCACCTGGGGCAGCACTGCTGTCCAGCTCTTCATCCTAACTGTGGTGACATTTGGCCTGCTGGCTCCCCTGGCCTGTCACCGGCTTTTGCACTCTTATTTCTATCTGCGCAATTGGCATCTGAACCAAATGAGCCAAGAGTTCCTGCAGCAAAGTCTGAAAGAAGGGGAAGCTGCACTCCACTACTTTGAGGAGCTGCCCTCTGCTAATGGCTCAGTGCCCATTGTCTGGCAGGCCACACCCCGCCCCTGGCTGGTGATCACCATCATCACTGTTGACAGGCAGCCTGGCTTCCACTACGTCTTACAGGTGGTGTCCCAGTTCCACCGGCTCCTACAGCAGTGTGGCCCCCAGTGTGAGGGATACCAGCTCTTCTTGTGCAATGTGGAGCGCAGTGTGAGCCATTTTGATGCCAAACTGCTCTCCAAGTATGTACCTGTGGCCAACCGCTACGAGGGAACCGAGGATGATTATGGTGATGACCCTTCAACCAACTCATTTGAGAAAGAGAAGCAAGACTACGTGTATTGCCTTGAATCCTCACTGCAGACCTACAATCCAGACTATGTCCTGATGGTGGAAGATGATGCTGTTCCAGAAGATCAGATATTCCCAGTCTTGGAGCACCTTCTGCGGGCTCGCTTCTCTGAGCCACACCTCCAAGACGCCCTGTATCTTAAGCTCTATCACCCTGAGAGGCTCCAGCACTACATCAACCCAGAGCCTATGAGGATCCTGGAGTGGGTCGGTGTGGGCATGTTGCTGGGGCCCTTGCTAACCTGGATATACATGAGGTTTGCCAGTCGCCCAGGCTTTAGCTGGCCTGTCCTGCTCTTCTTCTCACTGTATAGTATGGGACTGGTGGAACTGGTGGGCCGGCACTATTTCCTTGAACTGCGGCGCCTGAGTCCTTCCTTGTACAGTGTGGTTCCTGCCTCTCAGTGTTGCACCCCTGCGATGCTCTTCCCTGCACCCGCAGCCCGCCGAACCCTCACCTACCTGTCCCAAGTGTATTGCCACAAGGGATTTGGCAAGGATATGGCACTGTACTCACTCTTGAGGGCCAAAGGAGAGCGGGCCTATGTGGTAGAGCCCAATCTGGTGAAGCACATTGGGCTTTTCTCCAGCCTCCGGTACAATTTTCATCCCAGTCTGCTCTAGAGTGCCCAAAAATGCCTTTCGGAAAGTTATCACTTCCTAGAGATTCAAACACTGGTTCCTTATTTAGACATGATTGCTTGCAGCTATTTCATGGTTTAATGTTGCTAGGAGTGAAGGCACTGAGACAACTGAGAATCCTGCATTAATCAGCATTGGCTTTGGTAACCCCCAGCAGGGTCGGCGGTTTGCTACAGGTCTGGACCTCTCTCCCGCCACACAGCCACACTGCCTCATGCAGTCTGTCCCACCCAGCGGGGGTTCATTTAAATACCAGTTATGTTCCCCAGTTATTTGTAAGCTCTGCTTTGTGAGGAACTTGTGACTCCCCAAAATCTTGTGCACAGTGATACATGATTGTTTAGGATTTTGATGGTAGAATTTGGTGAAAGGTGAGAGCCTTTTGAATGGATTTCCTTCCATTGGATATGAGAATGAGTGTATGTTTAGAATGTAAGCCTAGAGAGTCAGGACCATGTTGGTATATTCCATTTGTTTCCTTGACTTGGTGTAATAAAAATTGTTAAAAGCCATGAAGTCCCTGGCATTTTGTAAGCAAGTGATCTGGCTTTTTTATGGCCTGGCATTTTCTTTTCTCATATACCTGTAATCAGTATTGTTAGCACTCTTAAGACATAGCAGGATCTGGAAGTACTTTCTGAATCAACAAAGTTCAATTGTCTACATTCAATGTGGTTTAATATTGAATATTTATATAATACTCGGATTCTTTGACAGTTGGATATTTCAGATGGATTAAGAATGGGTGAATTCTTTGTTAGAATATCCTTTTCCCTCACTTTGTCCCCCGCCACACACACTTTTCACTGCACTTCTTTTTCTTCTGGTAGTGTGATAGTATAGAAGAAGAGGCATAGGATGTAAAATCAGAAAACCCAGACCTTGTCTTTCAGGTGTCTGGCATAGCCTAATGATAAGACTTTGAGAAAGTCATATAACCAGTCTGGGTCTCTACTTCTTTGCCTGTAAAGTGAGGGTAGTAGTTGCCACCTTTTAAGGTAGGCATGAGCATAAAATGATAGAATGGTTATGAAACATCTAGCAAATGCTAAACTCAAAGAAGGATACTTGACAGATGTTTTTTTCTCTCTTGACATAAGCATACAGAACTCCAGTGCATTTTGGATAAAAACATCGGTGATGTTGTTTAAAGTGTGACATAGGGCAAGGGGCTGACACCCGGGCAACAGTTGGTCCAGTCCGAACTCTGCTAGAATAGAGGCTGACTTTGCTTTGTGCCTTCTGAAGAACATGCAGCTCAGCTTTCACCTAGCCCCACCTCCCACCAAGCCAAAATTAAATTGTTCATTCAGACTAGAATTGAGACTCCTGTTGAACTCCTGCCGAGACTACCATCTGAAAATTGCCTTTCTGAAGAGTTTCAAATAAATGTTCTTTAAATACTTATTAAAATACTGGCCAGCAAGTCCCTTTATGGAGACGGATGATTACATGCGACATATCAAGCAGTTGTTTACTTTGTTTTGTTGCCATGGCTATCATTTGCTTTTAAACTTTCACTTATGTCTTGAGATCCATTCAAGAACACTAAGGAAGATAAAGGGACCGATCTGCCATTCTGTACAGGTGAACAAATTCAGACATAGAGATTCGAAACAGGTCCATAGCTGAACAGCAACAGAACCAAGCTGGAAACATAGCTCTTCTTACCTCCAGCCCTTGTACATTTTTTTTTCTTTTGGTACCGGGGATTGAACTCAGGACCTTGTACTTGCAAGGCAGGCATGGTGCAACTGAGCTGAATCCCCAGCTCCCCTGTACTTTTTTCTGAATCACATTTATTTTTTATGTGGCAAAGTCTGGTTTGTAAAAATATTGATCATAATCCAGACTAAATAGTGTTTGTAAACTAAAATAGTAGAAACCCATTATTCTGTTAGTCTTGAAGAATAAATGATAGACATGTATATGTTCTGTGTTTATAGTGAGCTGTTATATATCCCTCAGCAATGCCCCAAGTGATCAGAGATGCGAGGTGACTCATTACTGATATCCACATTCTGCTCTCCATGCTCCTGGTAATAGATTCAAACCTACGTTTTAGAACTGAGCCACTTCCAATTTAGACTCACAAAAGTTGTTACATAATGATTGGGTCTCCTCGTGAAGGGCTTTTGACCAGCGACAGGAGAATCGTATTAAGCTAGCAGGCCCAAGATAAGGAATCACTGCTGGTTTACATTTCTGCTCTTTCTAATTCAGTTGTCCACCACTTGCACATCTTCCTCCCCTGCCTCTTCTATTGAGTGTCTCAGGCCATCCTTCCTTGTCTATTTCTCCACCTTCACCTCATGATGTCTTTCTCCATTGATCTTAAGTAAGGCCTGCCCTCCTGGGACGTTTTCTGCAGACACAGGCTTAGTTCTGCCCTTTTATCCCCAGCTACTTCTAGATCCTTAGCTTTACACCAAAACTGAAGTCTCAGTCCAGAGCAAAAGCCTAAACTGAGATACCCCTCCCATAACAAGAGTTGTCAGGAGGGTGGCGATCTCAAAATCTTGCCCCTTCTCAAAGGTCTCTGTTCTGATTGAGTATATTTGCATAGACATGCCAGTTAAATAAAAATACATGTTCTACTGAGACTTCCTGAGAAGACTTTTGTCATTTTCTCTTCTGTGGGTGGATTTTTCTAATATGACAAATAATTTGCTTCCTCCCTTTCCCCACCTTACACAGCGAATTGTGGTGTCCTAAGATAGCCATTCAGAAGTGCAGGTTGGTGACTGTACAAACAACCCTAATTACAGGTTACAGCAATAACAGAGCTTCTTTGTTTTTCTGAATAAACACAAGTTGTAGCCATTCCTGCCATCTCACCCCTTACCAACATAAACCTAGTACAGTGTACTCTTTCCTGCTTCTTGTCCTAAAAGTCCTAGAGAGGCTATGGAGCTGCCATGGATAGTATTTCCCTCTAAATGATTCCCCTCAGAGACACCAACAAGGTTAGCCATACCTGCAGGCCAAAAAAGAAAACACAGCCTTGCATGAGAGAAATACACAGGGGCTGCCCCAGGGCATACTAAAAACAAAATCATTAGAAGACAGTAAAAAGCAGTCATGTGTGGTTCTGTAAAAGTTTCTCATCCCATTCTCTCTGTCTGGAATGCATATAAAAATCTTCCAGAAATATAACCATAACTAACTCTCATAACCTGGACCTTATTCTTTATTCTTCCTCATTTTCTTCTTTGGTCCAGTCTCTCCATGTCCAATATTCCTTGTTTTCTAGGCAGTTCCGCCTGCGGTCCTTTTACTCTTTGTTAACTGATTCATTACTCACTATGTATCAGATACTGTTCTAGTTGGGGACATGGCCGTGAGTGAGACATCAATGACCCCTGACACTTCTACATATACTCTGTAGGGGAAAATAGAAAAACTAAAAACAAATAAGGAAATTGCAGGTAATGATAAGAACTTTGAAGGAAATAGGAGATACAGAGCTGGGAATAGAGAAGGGAGTAGTTAATTTAGATAGAACAGGGTTGGTTAGGGGAGATTAAAATAGCTCAGACCTAAATTGTATGGAAAGAATCAGCCAAGGGGGAAACATTCTAGACATGCCAAAGCCTTGCAATGAGAACCAGCACAGAAAGTTCAAGGAACTGCAAGTCAGAGGCTAGAACTTGAAGCCTGAAGATGGGGTGGTGAGCCATGAAGCGAGAGTTTGCAGGGGCCAGAACACATCAGGCCTGGGAGGTGACAGAGGTATTACAGTTTCTTTTTCTAAATGCAATGGAAAGGCAGGCCCTAGCAAGTCAGTGAATTGTTTTTCAAGACTACTGACTATCCACTTGGTTCCTGTGCTGATCCTATAAAGGGTTCATGACAATGGAGCACATATAAGAGACTTATTATATGACAGAGTGTGGGGCACACATGTGAAGTACACATGACATATATAGAAGCTCTGCTTCACAAAACAGCTTTGTCCTCTTCCCCCATCTCCCTGACATCTTAGGGCTCCTGTGTTCCTACAAAATTATGCCATATGTTCTTTGGTTCTTTTTGATCTGCCTTTGGATTTTCATCTGTTTTTACTCACCAATATATTTTTTTTAATTGGCTCATTCTTCCAAATTTTCCTGTAGGTTGCTAGGGAAAAGACCAGAAAATCTTGTTAAATTCTAAGCTAAAAATTCCCATCTGGTGAAGAGCAAAGATTTACAACAGTTGTGGGTGACATGCAAGGAACAACTTATTGCCACTGCAGCCCTAATATATTAAGCACTTGTGTGTGTGTTTGCTTCTAGTTCCATTAAATGTGTAACCACCATGGACATGATCCCAAATGTTTTCCAAATAATATGCAACCTAGAAAATAGTTCCAATTAACAAGCATTTATCAGCAAATGCTGTTGTAGTTGGGGTAAAAATACCCCACTCTTTCCTACCAGTTAAAATTTTATCAAATTTTATATCTTGCGGTGCTGTCACTCACAGTGCATCATAGTATATATAAATATCCCACAGTAACCAATTCCAATTAGAATGCATCTCTGCCCAAGTTAGGTTATCAATTAAGTAAATTATCCCAAATGAGTATATCTAAGGTAAATGAGATTGGGCTTATCAAGCCTGTATTCGACAGTTTGTGTAGTATTCTCCAAAAAATTTTCAAAGAACAAAATGCATAATTTAAATGTTTGAGATACAGCAAGATCATTTATCACTTTTTAAGCACACAGCTATATCTAATTTTCCATTGTGTGCTTTTTTTTTTCCTGTAAACTTCAGTTGTTATTTCAATTCCGCTGAAAAGCAGTACGTGGAATTGTGGTTTTCAGAGTTTTCCTATGAGGCATGTTACTCATACAGGTAGTATCTGCTGTTTTGAATTTACTCAAAGCAAGGCAAAACACTGCTGTTAGGTTGGCTTTCAAGTAAATGAGTCCATCTTGATTTCTTAAACATCATTTTGTGCAATTCCTCTTGTCCTCCCCAAACTACTTTGTCACACCAGTATATGCAGAATCCATAACCAGCAAGGTGCTACAAAGGCTTGGCTTTTGTCTATCTCCCCTCTCATAAGGTTTGTTGTAAAGGAGGCACGATTCCATCTTCCTTTTGGAAAGTACATGTGGAGTACTTCTGCTCTTGGACAAGGAAAAGAAAAAGCAACTGTGTCAATCTTATCTTTTCATACTGGAGCAATATATCTGAGATAATGAACTTAAAAACAGAGAAGGTTTGTTTTGGCTTATAGTTCCATAGTTTTTGGCCATGCTGCTATATGCTTATGGTGGCACAAATCTCATGATGGAGACACATGACAAAGCAGGATTCTCACCTCATGGTGGTTAGGAAGTAAAAGAGACAGACAGAAGAAGGGGTAGGGGTCCCAGTAACCTCTTCAAGGGTGCATCACCAGTGATCTTCTTTCCACTAGATCCCACTTCCAAAAGGTTCCACTATCCACCAATAATTAATAGGCTGGGGACCAAGCCTTCAAAACATAGGCATTCAGAGGACATTTAACATCCAAACTACAACAGCATCTAAATTTTAAAATTTATATCTATATCTCCATCTATCTTACCTATATATCTATTGAATGGGGTGTGTCTATGTTACACACAAAATCTTAGTTTTCATATTACTATGCAAAAAGCTACATTAGACAAATTCATACTAAGTCAATTTAAATTTAACAGTTTATCATAATGAATGGACAAATACTGTTAGCACTTCTCACTTAGATGACTTGAGCTTTTATCCTCTATAGTCTAGCTGAACTGTTAGCTGAAATACCCCAATCTGTTAAAAAAATATCCATATCTGAGATAGGAAAGGTTTTGAGTCAAACTAATTACTTGCTGTGACATTAGGAGCATCGATCTTCACACTGACACAGACACGTATTAAAAATTAGAGTTGCATCTCAGAAGCCCTTTAGGACAAATTAATTTTTGTTTTAGAAAATTCACCAGGATTCATGTCTCAATTTATGTTTACTGAATATTTATGACATGACAGGTACTACAATGAAGACAAAAGTAGGTGACTGAGACGTACTTTCTTCCTCTCAGAAACTTGGGGTCCAGGGGAGGAATCAGTAGAGTGAGGTGAATCCTAGGCTATCAGGATCACAAATGTTGCCCACAGATTGTCGCAAAGCAATGCAACTTTAAGTTGTCAGGACTTTCTCAACTTCTCTGAAAACTTTTCTTTTTTTTTTTTTTTTTTTGGGCAAACAAAACTCCCCCCAAAAAACTTCC